TTTGTACAACCTTTTGAGAGAGAATTTCAAGCACTTTTCAATGACTTTCAAGCATTTCGCACAACTATTTCCAGCACTTTAAAGCTCTAAAATGATCCAGTTTGAATGTTATTTTTAATGGGATGACCAAAATATATATTATAGACTTGTGTAAAATTTTAAAAATACATCAAAAATTAATTATAACCAGTAGACAGCAGCAGAGGAGCACTTATTGGCTTATTAGTCATTCATTTCTACTTTTTCTCTATATTTTGACATTATAAAATCACTATTATAAAATATCAAATCATCAAGAAATCAGATTTCAAATTTTACACTTTTGTGTATGAAGTAAGAAAAGTCACAAAGTGCCTTGAAAAACAAACTTTTCAATTTGCTACTAAATCAAACATAATCACTGAAGTTGGTCAGTTCCATATACTAGAAGAATAATGGTACATTTAATAAGAGTGGAATATATAAATGTTCTATATAAAAATTTGATTTTGCACCTGTTACTGTTGTTAATAAAAATAAATTGTGTATGCATCTTAACTCAAGCTTAGTGCTTTACTGCCAAATCTGTATAAACTATAAACAAAAGAAAAATAAACAAGAAATGAACATGTAATATTATTAGTAACTGCACTTATTAATGCAAAACAATAGTCATTTTATGATTAAATGATCTATATTTTAATACTCCCGCACACCACCCCCAGCGCTACCAGATCTGCTCCTGGCGTCACCATCTGTACAACTTAGTGGCGCTGGTGCCACCACTGCTCTCAAATGTTAGTCTGGAGCCCTGTTATGACTTCAGTGAACATAAATGTGCGTTAGGTCTTAAAGTAACAGCAGACTAATAATATGCCTCCTGCTGCCTATGTTCTTAACGTTAATCAAACAACAGAAGGCAATCACTTTTGTAGCTTTAATAAGAATCAAGTCAAATTTAATTGATTCAGTGAAGACGATGTCGCTATTTCTGTAGTATCTCTTGTTTCAATACTTCTATTAGACTGACCTATTGAATTAAAACGTTCTGAATTTGCAAAAATTGTTCCTGAATTGAAAACCTTTTGTGAATCAAATCGATTCGATCTCTAACTGAAGATTCACGCCCCTAATATATATTCTTATGCATTTGCAATTTTTTGCAGGAATTGCTCATTTAACACGTTTTTCTTCCACTCAGACTATGTGCCCCGTGTGTCTGGATCGCCTGAAGAATATGATCTTCATGTGCGGTCATGGCACTTGTCAGCTCTGTGGAGACCGAATGAGCGAGTGCCCCATCTGCCGCAAGGCCATCGAGCGTCGTATCCTGCTTTACTAGAGCGCCGGGCCATTGCAGCATCCCTGTTTTCCAGCCAGTGTGTTGCTGCTATAAGCACCTTTCCTGTATCCACACTAAGCTAAGAGTCATCAGTGTTACATCATCCATTTTTATTTGATCTTTTAGGCTCGATATTGGTCCAGTTAATTTCATTTTTCTGCTTGCTTGGATTGTGATCTAGCTCAGGGTTCCTCAAATCTTGCCCTGGAGGGCCAATGCGCTGCAGAGTTTAGCTCCAACCCTGATCAAACTCAGCTACCTGTGATTTTCTAATGATCCTGAAGACATTGATTAGCATGCTCAGGTGTGTTTGATTAGGGTTAGAGCTAAACTCTGCAGGAAAGTGGATCTCGTGGGCCAGATTTGAGGATCCCTGATCTAGCTTAACTACTCCATCTTGCCGTTTTGTTCATGAGCAGCAACACCTACAAGGCATGAACTGATACTGTCAGGGTCTGCTAATGTTTCATCTTTTATTATGTCAGTGTATTATGCTCGTATATCCTGATGCGAACAGTTGTATCTTCAGTATCTGTGTAGGTCATGATACAGCATGGTGAAATGTAGGACATGACTGAACTCTGTCCCACTGAATCTTTGGAAATTCGTTTTAAAGTCTCATTCTTTGTGACAGCGTTCAGTTATAAATAATGCGTAAATGTAAAGCATTTGCATTTACTGACAGAAGAAAGTTTGTCCTGTTCAAACAGTGAAATAAAACCTTGACCTTTTAGCAGTACTGTTAGTATAACATTGCATGTTCCTCTCTTCAATTGCTACTGCACTACAGTATATACAGAGTATTATTGTGACACCCATGTTGATGATTGGCTTGTCACCTGATCAATGCAGGAAAACGCATACTTTCCGTGCAACTGATCCCTGTTGTCTTTAAAAGGATATTCATTTGCTTAATAACCATCATTATTGGATTGTTCTCCAGCAGTCCTACTTTATGCACCGTATATTGTCTTGCCAGATATTTAATGCAAAAAGGATTTAAATAGAAACTCCTGGTCTTGTTCCATTGTTCCAAAAACAGGAAAACAATTTATTACCTTTTGGGAATAAGGTGCTCTTTATCTTTACCGTACTGGTTAATTTATGTCTTTTTTTTTTTTTTTTACCTTTTCTTCTAAATCTAAAAGACTTGGAATATACTATAGAATATCACCTGTATGCTGTAATGTGTAAATGGGGCCTTACTTTAATTAGGCCGCAAGACCGCCTGACCAAAAAGAATTTGTAGTTGAGGACTGTTCATCAAAGCCTTTCATGAACAATTGAAATATAATTGTCAAAATATATTTCAAAGATTTTTTTTTGTAATGGAAAAAGGCAGAACCACACATCTCTTGAGCCTTGATATGGTCGTTACTGAGAGCTTTTACATCCTGTCTATCGACCGATTCATTCATAACCGTGATTTCTCTTCTGATGACAGAGCTGCCTCTTACTGGGGAAGATCCATAAACCACTCGGCTAACTCCAGTGTTTCTTCCGAAGACCTGCGAATCCTTGATTCTGGCAAAGTACATTAATGGTGATTTGTAAGATCTGAAATTTCGTTCTTGGCTCTCTTCTTCATGTTAATATCCCTCGTTTTGAGCTGCGCTGCATCAGCGAACCACGCAGAGTTGCCAAGTCCGCGTATTATACGCGACGTTGGGCTTCTTTTTTTTGTAAAATTGCGAAAAAATCCCGGGTTGCGTTTTTTTGGGCTTATATTAAAAAATATATATGGTTGCTTGTTAGGAAAACCTGACAAGCAACTTCGTTTATTTTCATTTATGTTAACTGTATTCTCCAATGCATTGGTTGACACTGTCTGCTCACAGTTAATAGCCAATCAGTGCAAAAATATAAGTGCTGTAGCGTAATTTGTCAAATATTCCGCCCCCTCCGCACGCGCCTTCTTTTTGAACGTGATTTTTCATCAATGGGGGATTGAAGAAAAATCACGTTCAAAAAGACGGCGCGTGACGCTGTAATTCAAGCGATGATAGTAGTAGACTTTTCCTTTATAAGGTAGCCTAATTTTTTATTTTTACAATAATTTAGTAATGTATTAATTAACACGGGCTGTAAAAAATAAAAAAATAATAAAAAAGCCATATCAAGGCTCAATAGATGTGTGGTTCTGCCTTTTTCCATTACATTTTTCTCTATGAATGAGTTAAATTTAATCTAATGTTTTCAAGCATGACCACACTGGCCCTACATGGATCGTTTTGTCTAATTGGATTATTTTAAATGCACAAGACCCCAGCCGGCCCATCCATGTGACATCCAAGTAGGCCTATACTAATACTAAGAGTAGATTTGGTTCTAATAGCCAATATTTTAGTAGGCTATAAATACAGGTGCATCTCAATAAATTAGAATGTCGTGGAAAAGTTCATTTATTTCAGTAATGCAACTCAAATTGTGAAACTCGTGTATTAAATAAATTCAATGCACACAGACTGAAGTAGTTTAAGTCTTTGGTTCTTTTAATTGTGATGATTTTGGCTCACAT